TTCTACAAACTGTTTAGTATTCTTGTAGACYCTTTTGGGACCAACAATTGTTTTACATATTATTTTACAAAAGTATTTTTGGTTTTTAAAAAAATTTATCATTTTCAAAAAAGGGCATTTTGATCATTTATCAATATTTCATCCAATTCCAAAGCTACATTTTGTGAATCAAACAGACAAACTCCAATTTCTTAACAGATCCCATTCCAACATCTGCCAACCAAACAGATGGTCAAATCTGACAACATTTCATTTCAATTCTTTCAAAGTCAATTTTTTTAACATATTTCATTTTATTCAAAAAATTCTGCAAACCAAACGCCATCTAAAATAAATATTTAGAAAATTATTTTATTTTAAAATAAAAATGAGATTAGAGATGGTTACATGTCGATAAATTTTTTATCTTATATAATCATATCAAACAATAGTTAAGAGTCTGTTTGGTACTTACTTACGACATTGAAAGTAATTTATTCAGTAAACTTCTAGAAAAGAACTCTATACAATCAGCCGAGGTTTTTTTTTTTCAAATATACTCTTTCCAACTAAAAAATAGTTCAACGAAAAAACACTTTCAAACAAAAACCAGCTCCCATCGCATTTTATCCTCTTTGATCCGATCCACATATCTAATTTGACCAAAACACCCTTACCCCTTAAACTCTAGGACGCCCAAGTCCCAGCTGTCACTAAAGACCTAAACTTAAACTATTGAACCACGTGGATGAAGCTAATTGGTTGAAGAATTCTAGCTGTCACAGCCATGTCTGTATGGGTAACAGCAGCAGTAGCACACCAACAGCCTTTTGCATAAACAGTCAAAACAAAAATGTGTGTGAAATGGAATGAGAGAGAGAGAGAGAGAGAGAGAGACGAAGGGGGATCAAAACGTACGTTAATGGCGGCCTACGATACTTATGGTTCGTCCATTTCTTCTCTACACAATTATTTATACATATATACGTATAGCGTTTTTTATAGCTTACAGTAATTTACATAACGATCAATCGATATATACGTATCTGCAGTTCTTCACGTATATTTTGTACATCAAATACGTAAATATTTCGTGCAGATCTGAGTTTTTCCAAGGCTTAATCTCCAACATGTTTTTGTTTCTCTGTTGTTCGATCGGTTTCCATATAATCTTTGTTATTTGTTGATTGATTATCGGAACCGATCGATGATGGCTTGAATTGTACGTAATTATGCGTTTGGCGGAGTTCATTGGAGTCAGCGGTTCATCGATCAGTTCCTTTAACTTGAAGAACAAACATATGAACAAGAGAGAGCGTAAAAGAGGAATCGATCGATAAACCTCTGCATCCAGTGTCCACCCCTGCCTTATTTCTCATCATTCTGTTGATAATATTTGCAGTTTGATTTGTTTTTCAACAAACAGAAATCGTTTCGTTAATTTCGTTCTTGTTTTTTTCTTCTTCTTAGTTGATGATTTTTACAGAAACTGGAGTTGCATAACGTGTCCTGATTCTTGTTTTTTTTTTTTTTTTTTTTCTTTTCTAAATGAATCTCATGAATTCCTGAACTTCGCAAGAAAATTTGTAGATTGTGACAAATTTTAAGGTATAATATTTTTGATTAAATTTGTTATATAACGAGTTGTTTGAGATTGTTTATAAGAACAACTTATTGACTTATTCTGGTGTGACACTTGTAATAAGCGTTTTTGAGTGTTTGGATAAAAAACTTGTATCGGTGCCAAACCGGTATTAAAGAGTTTTTTAAGAAGTTAAATCCTTCTGACTTGTAATAAGTTGATAAGTGTTTTTATAAAAAAATATAACTTGTTTCAAATAAGCAAATCCCAAACACCCCCTCTATATTCATTTTGAAGATCTTAAGATTATTAAACAAAATTTGGTCATGAGTTCAATTTCAATGATACTGAAGTTCAGTTTGGTTTGAAAGAATGAAATGGACTTGGGGGATTTGCATTTCAAATTCATTCCAATCCTATGTTTGGTTTGTTGGATTGTCCGGATTTGAAATTCTAGGATTTAATTGAAATTTTCAAACATAGGATTTTGAAATACTTAGGAAGTTCTCGGGATTTCTTAGAATTGTATGTAATAAGGTTTTAAAAAGTGTTAATAACATTTGTTTTGTAATAATAGATTAATAAAAATGTAATTCAATTATTTTTACAATTATTTATAATTTTTTGTATAAATTATTTATAAATAATGGAATCCAATTCCATTCTAAATCCTACAAACGAAACACACAAATGATTTTAAATCTATTTTAATCCAAATCCTTCTGAATCTAAATCCTTCAAAAACAATCCTACAAACCAAACAGACCCTAGACTACTTTGATAGAAGTTTATCATGACCTTTTACCTCTTTTTCTTAGTTACCAGTTTCGTGTTTATATTAAAAGGGGTGTTTGGGATTGCTTATTTGAAACAACTTATGCTTTTCTACAAGAGCACTTATCAACTTATTATATAAGTCAGTAGGGTTTAACTTCTTCAAAAACTTCTTATTACCGGTTTGACACCGGTATAAATTGTTTATCCAAACACTTAAAAGTGCTTATTACTGATGCCACACTGGAATAAGTCAATAAATTATTTTTATAAACAATCTCAAAACCATTTTATATGCAATAATGGAATGTCTGAATTTACATGTAGAAGTTATTTATCAATTAAAGTGTATCAACCCATCAACAAACATGCTAATGACAAAACGGATGGGTTGATCGTGATGTAGTGATGTTAAAATAAAAATCAATATACAATTATTAGCTAATAAGACCCTTTTTTTAATTTGAAAAGCCAACACAATGTTATTAAAAAATCAAACAAGAATTCAACAAAAGATATTATAAGTCGTAGAACCAACTCGAAAAACACTGTTAAAAAAAATAAAACCGTCCGAAACCAAACAAAAAGAACCAAAGCACCCCCACAAAACCGTGTACACCTAATGCTAAAATCAAGTAGTCTTGTGAATAAACTTTGTGTATTTAGCTTTGATTAAGAATTACGGGTTTGAAGATAAGAAAAGTCGGATTTGCGATACATAGTTCCTTGGTATATAGTGCTTCAATGGATATAATTTTTTCCCTATGATAACGTTATCGTGATGATCCTAAAAAGACTTTTGTTTATATAAATTTATAATCAATTTAAAAATTTATAATCAATTTATAAATTTCCGTACTTTCTCCATCTCAAACTAAGTGTTCAGAATAGAATTGACATACGACCTTAAACGTACATAATTGTTACGAAACACTTATTTTTAGAGGGAGCGAATATTTTTTTGAAGTTTTTTCTCGGGCAGCTGAGACATCCTAACAGACCGGTAAACTTAAACTTTGTTTCTACCCTTTGTTGGTCTCGAGAGACGAAGGAGGCTAGGTTAGCCGAAAGATGGTTATCGGTTCAAGGACGTAAGGTGATCATGCTTTTTCAGAGTAAGAAGGGACAGAGAAAATGCCTCGAGCCTTTTCGTGTAAAATAAAACAAATGGAAAGGTACATAGGCTTTGTTACTTGGGGAAACAAAACTAATATTTGATGATCTGGAAGTTACTAATTCCGAAAATTGGCTTAAATAGTTAATCGGATCACCCCCTTTAATTCATTTCATAGTCATTTTTTGAAATGATTGACCAATTTAGTCAGAATTTACATAAACAGCATTATTGCGTAATACGGATTAGAAAAGGAGGGGAAATGGACACTACTAAACTGTGTTAAGGAATGTGGGGTGTCCAAGTAAGCATTATATAAGCAACAATTACGTAATTTATATAATGTCTAATTTTTCCTCATTTATAACTAACTAACCGTTACTACCATCAATTATTAACGAGGGGCGTTCTTATTGTTTTTCTTATAGCGGATATGATTTATCTTCTAACTCCTTCAATTACGTTTCTGTTAATGAGGGGCAATTTTGTCTATTCATCTTCTTGCTCTCTCAACTTCCATTTTCAGTAACAGATTTAGTCCCTCAAATTACTTTTTATTTTATAACATATTTGGTCCCTCAAACTATTTTTCATTATTATATAAATTTAGTCTCTCAAACTATTTTTTATTTTTTGTGACGGATTTGTTCATTCCCTCAACTTTCAATTTTATGATCAATCTCTTTGTTTAATCAATAAAATTTGATGACACATACATATGTTTTGAAGCCTAGACTTTGCCATTAATTTTTTTTTTTCAAAAACGTTACTTTCATGAAACCCTTAGTTCAAATAAATTTCAATTTTGTTTTAATTAGTTGAAAATTAAATTAAAAAAAGTTTTAAAACTAAATTTCTGACAATATATTAGATAATAAGATATAAAGTACTAAATTTAAGTATTTTACTAAAACTAATTAATATACAAAACTAATATTACAATTNGCATTTTGTACCCGCATCTGATGAAGTAGTAGTAGTAATCGGGGTCACAGATGCCCTTGAAGATTGACCCCCTTCTCTACTTTCCATTGCTTTTATAGTAATTAATTTAAGATCTTAATTTACTAAGCAGCCCAACTTCTAAGTTCTAACTTCTAAACAGCCACTCACCTACAGCAGTATCTGATCAAATTATAACAAATAATTTATAAGCAAATGGCCAACAATATATGATACAACCTACAGCTCTTAATGCAAGAATATATGATACAACCTACAGCTCATAAACAATATATGAATATATGATACAAGTCTACAACCTGCAGCTCATAAGTCATAACCAAAATAGGATTCAAACCTGGCTCTTGCTGGCTGTGAGAACAACTAGAAGAAAAACAGAGTAGTCCGTCGACTAGAAGAAAAATAGAGGAGATCGAGAAGAGAGCTGGAGTGGCTTGGGCGCTTGGCTCTGTCCTCTGTGTAAGTCGTAAGCGAGAGAGAAAAGAGAGAGACCGAGTGAAGAAAAGCGAGAGAGAAAAGAGAGAGACCGAGAAAGAAGTCTGACTAAGTTTAATGTTAGATTTAGACCTAATTTACTAAGCAGCCCAAAAAACTAAGGCCCATGGCTTAAAAAAAAAGCCCAAATTTTAACCCTTGTAAAAATCGGAATATCGGACCGATTTTTCACTAAAATATCGCTCAAAATATCGTCAAATATCGCCAAATATCGCCGATAATATCGTTGGCGATATTTTGGCCGATTTTTCATGAACGATTTTTTTTTTCAAGCGATATCCGATATATCGCCGATATATCGGCGATATATCGCGATTTTGACAGCATAGACAACAACCCTCTTTTATTGTTTCGGAAAACGTCACAAGCTTTCTAGCGGACCAAGATCCATATTTTCATCATCAATCAATTTAGCTTTAGCTAACCGATCAACTAGTAATGTTTTAGGTAAGCAACAACATTGCTAATTTACATCTCTATGTAACTCTTGGATAGTTGAGTAAACAACTTTTATTTAAATTCATCATATGAATGTTCCCAACTCATGCCTCCAAATCCCTAATCCTATTAGGCTTGATTTGGTTAAGTTTGACCCAAAAATGGTTTGTAAGAATCCTATGCTTACCTTATCTTACTAAGATTAAAGAGAGTACTCAACTTTAGCATGACCCACCCTCGATGATCAAAGTCTTGATAAGTGCCATGTTTGGAAGGCATCTTAAACTTAATATTTTGGCGAGGGATTTTAGTTAGTTTGAATATATCATTCTTTCTTTTGTGATAGATCATTTCCTCATTGCTTGATTCAATGGGAATCCAGATTGGAGGAACCAAATTTGTTATTAAAAAGTGAAGTTGAAGGAGAGGAAGATAAGTTGAAAATATTTGCAATACTTGTGTTTTTTATTAGTGGTTAAGATCTGTTGTATTTTGTTTTAGATTCGGTCCATCCAGATCCATATATCTGTTTAGGTTGTCGATTCATTTTCCGTTTAAGTTCTGTTGTATTATGTTTAGATCTGGTCCATCCAGATCCATATATCTGTTCAGGTTGTCGATTCACCTTCTGCTTTAATATATGTTATATTTTTTGTTTGAATTTGGTCCATCCAGATCCATATATCTGTTCAGGTTGTTGTTGTTGGGTTACGGGATCTTAAGCACAGCGGAAAATAAAACCGTAACACTCCAAGGATCCATACGAACCGGAATAAATCGGGTGTTTCGAAATTATACCTCACAGTTAACGAGACTTTGAATCACAGCAACAAACAAAGCTTGATGCCTCCACGGTATCCACRCGAACAATYCGAATSMTTTGCCTTCTCGTGATGCTAGTCACGGTTTCAAAACTTAGAAAGAAAATGGAGCATATTGTTGTAGGTGGTTTTTAGGAGAGAAAATTGCAAGACCAAAAACTCACTAGCATAAAAAATGTCATATATTTTATATGGACATAAGATGTATGGCCTAACCATCACCATACCTCCACCATG